GGGCACCATGGGAGAGTGGAAAAATACGGGTAACATGGGTCCCGTGCATAATACGGGCAACATGGGTCCGGTAAACGTGGGCAATAATGCCGGACTACATGTAAATGGTCCTGGTGCCGGCAACGAATCGAGCCCTGGGGATAATAGCCAGGGGCAAAGTGGACTAAGTGGTGTTAGTGGTAACTATATAAATATTCCGGAAAATTTTAATATGAGCCATTTGTATAATAATAACATAATTGGTGGTATGCCAACTTCAAGTGGCAATAAGTTACAAAGTCATTTGTATAATAATAACATAAATTCTGGCATGCCAACTTCAAGTGACAGTAAGTCCAGTAACGGGCAGCATTCTTTGCCAAAAACCTATCAGGTTAGAATTATTAAAATACATTTTAATCCTTTAAATAGAATTGCCTGAAATTGCATAAATTTTTAATTAAATTTGTTATTTGTTTAAATAAATAAAGCGCTCACCCAATAATTTAGTCATGTACATTTAGTTGAAAATATTAATTAATTTTTCTGTTTATTAATAATTTAAGGAAATTATGAATTTAAAATTTTATTCCTTGTTTTATAAGTTATTGATTTATAATGTCATAAATTATGAGTCTCATAATATTATTTACACTATTATCAATCTATAAGTATTATTTTTAAATAAAATTAAACTAACGATTTATGTAATATTAGGCTTTTGAGCATTAAGTCTTTTAAGTAAATAACAAAATTTAATTTAATTTATAATATAGTAGAGTATCCCAAAATAACATTATTAATACGATTTAATTTAGAAATCAGTCTTGGTCCAGCAAGTTGAACTTCAGCAAAATGTTAACGATGAAGAATCGGCAATATTTGATAAACTCTCAATTATTGGCCAAGGTAGTTTTGGCAAAGTGTTACAAGTGAGAATGAAAAACGATAACGAAATTCGTGCCGTCAAATGCATCCCTATATATGGTAATGTATATACAGTTTTAACAATTAGTGTAGCAATGTATTTTATAGCAATGAGTATCATATTGCCATTTTCGGTGAGAACTTGGTTGTGCAATATATATAGTTTGGGTATTTTAGGATTTGATTCAACATTAATTTTAAGCAATTTATAATAAACAATATAGCTAATGTTTAATAAAAATTCAAAGTATATACAAGGTAACTTGTCAGTGACAAAAGGAAATGTTAAATGAAATAAAGATGTCTTGTACCATAAAACAGTCCAAGTGGAATCCTGAAACCATAGAATAAGAATATTTAATTAATCATATTGCTCCTTTTTTGGAATCCATGTTTTATAGGGCTGGACGACAAAAACAAAGTGTACCGGGAGGTGGAGAGCCTAAAGAAAGTAAACTCGGCCTACATTGCAAAATATTACGACTGGTGGATCGGCGAAAAAACGTTCTATATCATCATGGAATATTGCCCTGATAATTTGCGCAAGATCCTTAATTTAAGACCGGATTTATTCGCCCGACAGTACGGGAAAACGATGAACGACTTGGAGTACTACATGTCGTGCGAGATCTTCCGCCAGACCCTTGAATGCGTGCAATATATGCACGAATTGCGTCCACCCGTAATCCACAGGGACCTCAAACCCGAGAACATATTAATTTCGTACGATAGTGAGCATGATCGATTTGTCAAGTTGTGCGATTTTGGATTGGCCGCCGTGCACCATAAGACGATCAATAATCAAGGCTCAAACAAGCATACCATAGACGTTGGCACGGTTGGCTATCAAGCGCCTGAAATTGCTAATGGCGCTCGATATGATCATAAATCTGACGTATACAGCCTGGCCGTTATTGGCGCCGAGATATTTGAACTCGATCTAAATAAATTAGAAAAGTATATAAGCGCAATTGTCATTAACATTATCGAAAGTAATAGAAAACTTTCTTTAGTATTCAAACACTATGTATTGAGCTAAATTCTAAAGTATTAATTATACATAATACCATATTGTACTTGATTCATAATGCATGTTACATATAGCTCAATACAAAGTGTATGAATATTATTTTCTAGACCGCCAGACCCGCCAAACAAAAAAACAGAGACTTCTGGTTATATATTAAGTTTATTAATTTTTTTTTGATTTTGATTTTTGTTTTATAAAGGATTTTAAATAGTTTATAGTTGAATCAGTTAATAATTGTAAGTGTAGTTACTTATAGATAGCTCTCTCACTCTCTCCCTACTTTATTGTCCTAAATGTGAAGAGAGAGAGAGAGAGAGAGAGAGAGAGAGAGATAGAGAGAGAGATAGAGAGAGATAGAGCTATTTATACGCTATTATATTTAAAATTATTAAATTATTAATT